AAGTGCTGAGAGTTTTACACCTTGATCTGCAGGCAGCAGAGGGAGACTTGTGTCCCACACTGGTAGTAGTTTGAGGGTGTGAGACCACAAAGCCCACACCCACAATGCCACACTTCCTCCAACAAGGCCACACCTCCTAATAGTGCCACTCCCTATGGGTCAAGCATTCAAACACTTGAGTCTCCAGGGGCCTTTCCTATCCAAACCATTTGACAATAGCCTGATCCTCCTGCTGCTATCTCCCAGGTAGTGAGATTACAGGTGTGTGTGTGTGTGTGTGTGTGTGTGCTACCACACCTGACTGCTGACTGAAAAGAAGTGTGTGTGTGTGCTGGGACTTGAACCCAGAGCCTTGTGCAAGTCAGGCAGGCAGGCAGGCAGGCACTCTACCACTAATCTATACAACCCCAATCAGGTGATTTTTGGTTTTTTCTTTCTGAGATAATGGCTGGCTATTATAGACCAGGCTGGATTTGTGCTTCTGTCTCGACCTTCAGACTGTTAGGATTATAAGATGGCCCACCAAACTCAGCTTCGTGGACATGCCAGCTTCAATATCCATGGCCTGACTCTGAGACCCACATTTGATGACGGCTGGAGCACAGGCAGGAAGAGGAGGAGACACAGTCACAGACCAGAAGCCCCACTTTGTCCTCTTGTCCACTGCCCCCCGCCCCCACGGTAGCAAGGAGAAGGCCAGCGAAGATCTCTGCTCATATAATAAAAGAAGTGTTTGGACAGAATTCTTCATTAGTTTTACACACTGGTGCATGCTCATAGTCCCAGCTACTCAGGAACCTGAGGCCAGAAGATCACTTGAACCCAGAAGTTCAAGGCCAATCCAGGCAACCTAGTAAGGTGACCATTCAAAACAAACAAGTTTTCTCTCCATTTGGAGAGAGGGATGGTACCAAAAGTAGAAAAAAGCATAGCTGGGACCTGCCAGCCGAGGTCGAATTCTAGCACAGCCAATATCCAGACACCATACAGGTTGCCTAGCTTCTCTTAGCCTGTTCCTGAGTCTATTCAGAGGGTGGTAGCATTTTCTAAGGTTGCTTTGAACATCAAACAATAGGAAAGGGTCTGGTACACGGTAGCAACATAATGCATGCCTATTTCTGTCCCAGCTTTTGAAATATTGTCTTCCCCAAACAGATTAAAAAGTTTACTCCTCATCCTTTGGAACTTGGGTTTAGGGGATGTAATACGCCAATCCACATCTTCTGTGTGGCTGGGAAGACTTGTGTGCAGAAAGCAAGGTGTGGTCGGACTTTCTTTTGGGACCACGAGCCTGCAAATAATGACACAGAAGACTTATTATTAATTATAAAAGCTTGGCTTTTAGCTTAGGCTTGTTCCCAACTAGCTCTTATAACTTAAATTCACCTGTTTCTATTAATCTATGTTCTGTCACATTGCTTTTTACCTCTCTCCCACTTATTGCATCCAACTTGCTTCTGTCTCCCACTGGCGTCTCTTGCTAACCTAGATTCTAACCCTCTGAGTTCCTCTCTCTGCCCAGAAATCCCGCCCATCCTCTCCTGCCTAGCTATTGCATTCAGCTTTGTATTAAACCAATCAGAAGGTGCCTTAGGCACCTGTACTTCTTTACAGTGTGCAAAAAGATTATCCCACAACAGCAGGGAGGTAGAAACGCCATGTCCTGCTTGATGCAGGGGCTCTCAGCACCCTGCAGCATTGGGGCCCTGCACCTCCCGTCACACTTGCCAGAATGAATTAAGCCAGAGCGCATTAGTAGCTCAACCCCATCCACAAAAATCAATAGGGCTTCCCTGTGTTGTGCAATGTGTAAGTTCCTGAAAAGTCAGAGGTAAATCAACCTCCCCTCCAACTCAACGGGTACTGAGCACCAGGTGTCAACTCAGCACATTGCTGGGGCCATGCAGGGCATGTGCTCACACCCACACCCCAAATCAGTGATGAGCCTGGGTTCTAACTCACATTGCCAATGTACCAGAGACACTGGCCAGTAGCACCATGTGGTAGGCATTGTTATAGAGCCAACATCACCATTTAGCCGGGAAGAATTACTTCCTGCTTGCATCCTATTGACTAATACGTTTTATTCATTGTCTTGGGTTTTTATAGAAAAGCCTTTGAATTCTGGCCTATGGCAAGCCTTCCTAATCCTGGTCACCTCACATTCATGTAAAAGTCAACTACCCCAAAGCACTTTCTATGCTTCAATCTGTTTCTTGGCAGGGAAAGAAAAGCAAGTCTTTCTTATACCCTTTCACAGGTGAGGCGAGCAAGGTACAGAAAGGCAGTTGGCTTGTAGGCTCGGTGCCCGAGAAGCAGGAAGTTCAATCCAGACTTGGCGCAAAGAAAGACCCAGGACCAAAACCAAGACAACCTCTGTCCCTTGCTCTTGTCCTTCCTGATGGCAGGCTCGCCAGTGGTCCGTGTGTCCATCCCTGCACACATAGCTTCAAAGCTTAAATTCCTGCTTTCTTGGGCCACCTATAGCCTACCGTCTTCAAGGGCCCTGGGTTGGACTCTGAAATGTGTCGTGAAGTTTCCAGCCCTGTCTCTGCCCAAATGTGGGGTTTTTAAACAGTCTCTTACCGCCTGCAGTCCTTGTGGGTGACCCTCATTGCAGGGGAACTTGGTGAACCCCTCTTGTGAGACAGACCTTGACCTGGGACTAGAGTGAGTAAGGTCTGGACCTCTCTTTCCTGGGAGTACAGCCCAGTGGAAAGGGTCACAGAAGATGCAACTTGGTTGCACTTGGATGCCATTCACCCCTCCCTGCGGGTGCTGGGGAAACACAGGTGCACTGCAGGCCGAGTGAGAGCCCATTCACGTGGCAGAGGGAGAAGCAAGATTCAGGTGGGAGGGAACATTATGGGGAGCTGGGCAGAGGTGTGAACTGGCAGGTGTGTTGGGGCCCTGCCAGGACCTGGCGTGGGCAGGACAAGAGACCAGGAGATCAGAAAGGCAGTCTTGAGAATGAAGCAGGACCTGAATGAAGGTCTGCTTTCCCAGTGTGGGGGTGTGCATCTTCTCTGTGAGTCCTTCAGTGTGAGGCCAGGACCTGCCTGATGTGATCAGGTTCAAGTCTCAAGAGTTCCTTTATAGTTGTGCCAAAGAAAACAGAACTAGATTAAGGGAGCAGAGGGCAGCTTTACCTTCTGTATGCCTGTAACCCCAGCATCTAGTAGGTACTCTGACACATAGTAGGTATTTGCCATGGGCTGACAGGATGGTTTCAGAAGCTCACTGCAGGAATCCAGTATACAGCCTTGCACCAAACTGGGGACAGGCAGAGGAGGGACTACACAAGGAAGCAGAACTCAGGTCAACAAGTTTAGTAGAAAGAATTTAATATGGGGGAACGGATTCCAAAGGTATTGGAAAAGCAGGAATAAAAAAAGAACAAAGCACACTGCCTAGGTGACTCAGAATTTAACATCCGGAAGTTGCTGTCACCCTAGGACTGGAGGACAAGGTGGTGTCACCTAATCCCAGGAGCCAGAATCCTTGCAGTGAGCTGGGCCCCTGCAGAGGGCTGCACTCCCCAGGAGGTATTTGTTTGGAAAGGAGAAGCAGAACACAGGAAGTGGAAGGCAGAGAAGGAGGTGGATGGGGCAGGAATAGCTGGGCTCACCACAATCTAAGAAGGCTTCGGTTGCCTCCAGTTCCGAGCTTGGAAAATAGAAATGTAGAGGTGGTTCAGGCCCTGGCAAGAAGACCCGGGCATTATTATCCTTTCTCCTGTAGGGTCACTGGATGTGACCTCCAGAGAAGGTCACAGCGTGACCTTCTTAGCCAAGGCAGTTTCCAAAAGAGCTTTTGATATGCCCTTACAGCAACCAGGGAGGAAAATCCAGTCTCAAAGAGAAGGGTGGATGAGGGGGGATCATCACCAGACAGACTGCTATAGCTGGACACCCCAAGCCAGGGAAGTATGTCTCCAGGTAACTCTCCTCTGCCTCCCACCTCAGCATGGTCTTCCAGAGGCTCCCACTGGGCAAGAGGAGCGACTCCCAGGGAATCGAGCAGGGTAGGAGGGCACACATGTTTAGCTGAGGTGTCATGGGACAGTGGTGGTCAGTGGAGCTGTAAATGTACAACATTCGGTTAAAATACCCAGAACCGTACTGGGTTTACCATCCAGTAACAGACGCCCAGCTGGCAGCTCAGGAGAGAATCTGGGCAGGTAGAAAACCTCAGGTGGTCTAGAGAAACTTCTTAAACAGACCTGCTTCCAACAACCTGTGAAGAAGAGCCAGCTCCCTGCCTTCCTGGGAGCTGCCCTGCCCTTCTGCGCTTCCCTGCCCCTTGTGGCCGAAGTTAGTTCATAGCTCTCCTCTGCGCCTCTGGACTAATCCCCAGTCCAGCGCGTTGCAGACGGAGGCCTCCCCAGTGGTTCCCCCCCCCCCCCCCCCCCCCCCCCCCCCCCCCCCCCCCCCCCCCCCCCCCCCCCCCCCCCCCCCCCGCAAACTGTAGTCTCTTCCGAGACTCCGCTGAGCACACAATAAGCACGAGGGCTTCACTTAGCCTTGGCAGGAGGCTCAGGAAACGTATAGAGTTTGAAGGAGACACAGCAAGGAGGTTGAGTTCTTAGGATTTCGTTTCTTCATCAAATGGGGCAAAATGTAACCCTTTTAAGCGAGCCTTAAAGTGCGGCAACCTGTGCAAAGTGCTAAGCACAGGACCCCGGACCCCTACCCCCAGGCCGCAACTGATGCCAATCAACATTACGGTTTCAATCTAAATCTTCTAATCCCCAGCGTCTAGCCCTTGGAGATGCTTAATTAGCGTCTATCGAATGGCTGGAGAATTAATAATGAAAAGGATTTATTCTTGGGCTTGACCTGGTTTTAGAAAATTAATTGTTCAGCATAAGTACAAGAAAGGACTTTGATAATAGGTATCTATGTTGAGTGAGGATCCAGGGACTCCAAACTGACCTGGTTTGCGAAAGAGGGGGGAAAAACCCAACACACACACACACACACACACACACACACACACACACACACACACACAAAACGTAACAACACAAAGTGTGATTGCAAGCTGTTTCCAGAACTAGTTTCAAGAGCACCCAACTCATGCTGCAAGAACGCACACACACGACCTTGTCCGGGTGCAGGTAGTATCTATCCCTGGCTGTGGATAGAATGTCCCCAATACCCTGGACCGCACCAGCATCCTAGACCCTGGGGCGTGTACGGAGGTGGGAGGGGACAGGAATCTGGCGGCTGCCACGTGGGCCCCTTCCGCCAGTTCCCCACATCCTTTGTTTCCCACCGGCCGGAGCTCAGAAAGCTCTTTCTGCGAGTCACCGCGAAGGGGCGGCCCAGGAGCCTGGAGAAGCTATTTCCGTGCAATCCGGGCGGGCGGCAGGCGCGGGAGGGGCGTGGAGGTGGAGGCAGAGCAGAAGGCCCAGTGTTTGCTTTTATTTCATCCAACAGAAGGTTCTATTTGTGGAAGCGAACAGACGCTGGGGATTAGAGCTGGGAGGAGGCAGGAAAAGAAAAAAAAAAGCCACATTCACTACCACGCACAGGTCTTCCCCGGAACTACCGCGTGGGGGGGTGAATGACTGATAATGGAATTCATCACCTTTCCTCTCGCCCCTTCCTCCGGCTGTAGCCGCGACTCGGCGGCGCCCACAGCTCCACCGGGAGCTCCCCAAGTGTAAAGCCGCGGGGAGGTCCCACCGGAGTAAAGGCGTGACCGCTGGGTAGTAGCCAGCTGCCGGTGCGGAGTCCCGAGGTGCGCGCGCCGGCCGGGAGCTCGCGATCCATTGTGTTGTGTGAATGATGCGCGCGCGCCAATCAGCAGTCTTTTCGCCCCCGCCCCTCCCGCCCACTTCCCCGGGACCCTGACGTCACGGGAGCGTTTCCTCCGCCCCCTCCTTCGGCTACCAGCGCGGAGCCCGCGGGCTTGCGGTTGGGTGCGCGCCGCCTGCTGCCCAGCCTAGCCCGTGGGGCGTGTGCGCGCGCCCAAGACGGCCCAGGACGTTCCCACCTGCGCCCAGGCGCGCGCTGTCGGGAGCATCCCCAGGCCTCCGGCCACCCCCACTGTCCCGGCTTCCAACTCCATTACCCCTCCCCCAAGTCTCCTCCCTCCTCTCCGGTGACTGTGAGCCGGGCGACGGGGCCGGAGTCGTCGCAGCCACCTCATTGCACAACCCGGCTTCCCAACTGTTTACACAGCCCGGCCTGTGAGTGTGTGTGTGTGTGTGTGTGTGTGTGTGTGTGTGTGTGTGTGAGTATACAGCGTGAGTCACCGGGAGGCGGAGGAGGTGGAGGAAAAGGAGAAGGAGTGCACTGGCCAGGATCAGTGCAGCGCACACACTCATATTCAGTCACTCTCTCTGAGCGCGTCTCGCTCGCTCACACGCCCGGAGCCCAGAAGCGCGCAGGATCCCGAGCGGCGCGGAAAAGTTGTGCCGGCTTTTACTCAAGACTAATTGCTTTGGGAAGTGCGTTTGCTCTGGGAAGCCGCCGTGCCTGCGGAATCCTGTCCTCAAGGCTCAGCACCCGGGAACTCGGGCCGCCTCCACGTCCCGGACTATCCACAGTCTCGGCAACAATAGCGGCCCCCGCCGCCAGCGAGGCGCCCAGACCTGGTGCTTGCGGGGGTCTGGAGACCCCACGCAGCTTCCCACTCTCGGACGCGTGGCCAGCGTGGTCCTCGTGTGCAACGCCAGTTTACAGGAACGGCTCTCGTTTTGCTCCTCTTGGGGGCCGACCCAAGCTCCATCTGCAAACTCCATCCCGAGGGCTGGAAGAAGTCGCAGCGCGGATCCGGGGATTTACAAAGCCGGGGCCGCTCCGGCCAGGGCCGCGATGCGGGTCGGTCCCGTGCGCTTTGCACTCAGCGGCGCCTCGCAGCCCCGGGGTCCGGCTCTACTATTCCCCGCTGCCCGGGCTACCCCGGCCAAACGGCTGCTGGACGCGGACGACGCGGCGGCCGTGGCGGCCAAGTGTCCGCGCCTTTCTGAGTGCTCGAGCCCCCCAGACTACCTCAGTCCCCCGGGCTCGCCCTGCAGTCCGCAGCCTCCGCCCTCCGCGCAGGGGACCGGCGGCAGCTGTGCGAGCGCACCAGGGCCCAGCCGCATCGCCGACTACCTGCTGCTGCCCCTAGCTGAGCGCGAGCATGTGTCCCGGGCGCTGTGCGTCCACACCGGCCGCGAGTTGCGCTGCAAGGTAAGCATCCTGGGGCGGGGGTTGCGGGCCTGGGTGGTCTACAGAAGTGCTTGGGTTCCTGCCCACCCGGATCACGCTCCGGCCAGCGCTTGGGTTTGGCAGAGCAGACACGGGCGTTGAGTCTGAGAAGGAGGGATTTTGGTCAGCTTCGTCTTTTTGGAGGTTGAGGGGTTTCCTGTGGAGTGTTAGGGTGAGGGTTCGGCGGTCTAGAGGAAGTGCAGGGTTCAGTTCTTTTATCTCTGTTCTTTTCTTTGGCGCTCAGAGTTGCTAGCGCGTGGCGTTCCATTTAAGTCTGGAATTGCAGTGGATTCCTGGGCCATGCCATTGCCCTGCTCTCATCCCCCCCCCCCACCTCCTCCCCCTGTCCTGGAAGGACGCCCTGCAGTGGGTGCCTCCTTGGGGCTTGGAGCAATTGACAAGCTCTTTGCCGGAGGTTCACGGACACAGGCTGTGCTTAGACGGTGTGGGGCTTTTACCCAGGGAATTGTGGCTTGAACTCCCGCTGGGGCCAGAATACAGCCCATCCCAGGGAGCGGTGGGTGGGGGCCTTAAGCTTGGGAGGGGCTTCTGGCCCGCGGAGGAGCGCCGAAAAGCTCTCAAGGACTCTCTTTAGTTTGGGGCCGGCAATTTTCATTGCAACATTAGGAGGAATACAACACGAGACGGGACGATCCGGCTCTCCTGGAGAGCGAGCGGGTACACGAGGACGGCTTGCGCATCCTGCGCTTTGTGAGCCGGACACTCACACCTCCGGCCCACCCAGAGCCCCACCGACTCCTTTCATTTCCCGGGAGTTAAAGCAGCTCCTGGGTTTTCAGTAACTCACCTGAACTCCCCCCTCCCCGCTTGCTGCTGCCACCTACTGTCCACCCGCATGAAATCTCAGATGGATGGTTAAGCCCAGAGAAAGAAACTCTTCTTGGTGGATGAGAGCAGTTTCAAGAGAGGGTGGATGGGGCAGGAGGAGAGGACAGCAAAGGGATCCCCCCCACCCCAGTTGGTACCAGAGCAGCCACCTCAGAGGTGGGGTAGGTCTGGGTCATTGTGCAACCCCTTCCAGTTCCTCCGAGCAGATGATAGCTGGATCCAGATGGTGACAGCCCGTGTGTCACCATTTCCAGTTGCGTCTAGGATATGAGTAACCGGACTGAACAAAAGGTCCTTAAAGAGACCAGCCTGCAGCTTCTTAGAGGATTTGCTACCCGTTCTGGGGGTGGGGCAAGTAGGGGGGGGCGTGTAAACAAACATGAGGAACGGCCTTTCAGAGGTGCCCATCCCCTCCTGTGAGAAGGTAACTCCAGGCTGCTTCCACCTGAGTCACAGCCATAAGCAGGTTGCTTAAGGCTGCCGTGTCAGTCTCTCCCAGTCATCAGTTCCTTCTGACTAATGACAGCTCTGCATGTTTGCTGCCCCTGCTTCCCCTTGGAGGCTGCAAAGTCACCACATTCCTTGACTGTGCTGTGCTGAGCCTTCTGGGTTTGCCGGGGACACATGTGCAGTTTAACCGCTGCTTTTCACCCTTAGGGGTGCTGGGGTCCATTCCCTTGACTGCTGACAGCCTTATCTGGTAGGAAGGAGCCATATCAGGGAGCTGGCCTTGACTCCCAGGAACTGACAGTCCCCCAAAAGACATCAGGCTTTGGAAGATCCCGAGGTGTGACTGGTTTTAAGATTATTATAGCCGGGCGATGGTGGCGCACGCCTTTAATGCCCAGGCAGAGGCAGTCGGATCTCTGTGAGTTCGAGACCAGCCTGATCTACAGAGCTAGTTCCAGGACAGGCTCCAAAGCCACAGAGAAACATCTCGAAAAACCAAAAAAAAAAAAAAAAAAAAAAAAAGATTATAGCAGAGGAGCTGCATAGGAGGCAGAGAGAATGGACTATCCAAAGGTTGAGAGCTTCAATCCAGCTTCATATAGGACTTGGGGGGGCAGCTCCTGACTTTCCGGCCCTCCCTAAACAGACTGCGTTCTCTCTGCAGGTGTTTCCAATTAAACACTACCAGGACAAAATCAGGCCCTACATCCAGCTGCCAACCCACCAAAACATCACTGGCATCGTGGAGGTGGTCCTCGGGGAGAGCAAGGCCTATGTCTTCTTTGAGAAGGACTTTGGGGACATGCACTCCTATGTGCGGAGCCGGAAAAGGCTTCGGGAAGAGGAGGCTGCTCGACTCTTCAAGCAGATTGTTTCTGCTGTTGCCCACTGCCACCAGTCGGCCATCGTTCTGGGGGACCTGAAGCTTAGGAAATTTGTCTTCTCCACAGAGGAGAGGTGAGCAGCTGCCACAGCACCTCCTGTGGCCTTTTGGAACCAAACCAAACCAAACCAAAACAAAAAAACAACAAAAACCAAAGATACAGGTCATACAGTTAGGTGTGAGCCAGCCAAACTCAAGGGCTTGGGTCTTCCTGGTTTAGCATTTAAGTTCTGCTTCTGGAAATTCGTGGTCAGTCTTGGTTTATCATCTGCTCTGTTTGGTGGATGGAGTGTAGTGAAGCCTAGAGACACCCCGGTGCTTTTGTGGATACTGCAGTTGTTGACCAAATGCCCTTCCTACTTCTGTCCCAGGCGCAGGCTTATTTCCCTTTGTCAGAAAGGTCAGTCTTCTGGGGGGGAAAGAAAATACTCCTAAAGGTGGTCAAGTCCTTGCTTCCAGCAAGTGGCTCTTGTGTGCCTAGAAGGCATTGCAGAGCTAGTTAGGCTCTTGTGTTTGCAGGATTCCAGCCGTCCCTACCACACTGCGTTCCTGCTCTATTTCAGCCTGCCCCCCACCCCCATACCCCGTAATAGTTTGTTCTCATTCTCTGGTGAGTTTTTAGTAATCGCATCAGCTCCATCTTCAGAAAATAACCACATTGAATAATAAATGGAAGTTGGCTAGCATGCCCTGCTAAATATAGTTCTTGGCTTACCTCATCAAGGACAAGATGTGCCTGATAAGGGACTGGGGAGACATTGAGATTTGAAGTGGAGGTTTCACCAAGAGAATTTCGGGACCTATGTGAGACAGACTGTATGCTCCATTCTGTAGACATACTACATCTGTGGTAGGAAGATGGGAACTGTAGAATTGTCCTGTGGTGGTGAGTTACTTTGTTGAATATAGTTAGTTACACAGGACTTAACCCTACCTGTTCACTTTTACCTTTAGCTCCAGGGCCCCCTAAAAAGCCCAAGCTGAAGTCCTCCAAGCATGCATTTGTATCTGACCTCGCACTAACTATTGAAACATCCTGATTGGCAAAGAGAAGCAAACTGTTTGCTGTGAAGAAGTGTCCAGTTCCTGGAACGTGCTTCTTTGATAATAGTGATGTCTCTTTTTTTTTGAAACATGTGCTGCACACCTCCTCACTGGCTTTTGAAATCTGCATTGCACAGGCCAGTGTCATGGGCATAGGGTTTGGTAACCCGAGGGTTAAGCAACGGCAGGCTGACGCTATTCATGTAACCAGCACAGGTGCAGGGTTTTAGTACTACAGGAGCCAATCAGGGGCAGACAGTGTGGGTTGAGTCATATTTTCCGTTTACAGAACCAATGGGTATTTTACATAACAGGGAGGTCATGCTGAGGACACACCGAAGTTAGCACATGTATGCTACACTCCAGGGAACAGGAAGGCTGGAAAAGAAAAAAAAGAAAGAAAGAAAGAAAGAAAGAAAGAAAGAAAGAAAGAAAGAAAGAAACCACCAGACCTTTGAGAGGAAAAGGAATTGACCAAACGCCTGTGTGTAACTTCACAACAAGTGAATTACTGAAAGAGGCCTCTTTCTCCGAGAAGCAGGCACCGGATATTAGAGGTGTCCCACGTGTGGCTGTGGGGGAACCCAGGAGATGTGGGTGGCTGGTTCTATATGCGGAGGCACCTGCAGCTTCCTAAGCGGTCCTTT